CGAGGCTTCCTCGCAATTCGTTCAAGTTGGTGGAGGCCCAGCCACGACGACAAGGGCTCCTGCTCGATACTTCCCCCCGATTTACTCCGAGAGCCCCTCGCCAGGAAGGCCCCCTGAGGAACGGTACTCTCGCTCGACTTTCTCGTAATCCAGTCAAGTTGGACGAGGCCAGGACACGGCGACAAGGATTCCCATTTGATATTTTTCCATCGGTATTCCGAGAGACCCTGGCCAGAGAGGCCCCCGAACTCAGGAACGGCGCTCTCGCTCGAGATTTCCTCGCATGTCAGTCAGTAGCCGACAAGGAAGAGATTCCCCCCGAAAGGGGGTGCAATCGAAGACGAAGTGGGCGGGTATCGAGGGTTGGGGTATACAGAATGCAAGACACGCGTGCCAGTAAGAGCGAACACTCTTAACATGATTGTTGTTGTTGTTGCTGCTGTTATCACTGTTGTAGTTTTTTTGGTGTGTGTATGTGTGTGTTTTGCTTTTGTTAAGTTTGTGTGTTGTCGTTGTGGTTGTTGTTGTTGTTGCTGTTGTTGTTGCTGTTGCTGCTGTTGTTGTTGCTGTTGTTGTTGTTGTTGCGGTTGTTGTTGTCGCTGCTTCTGCTGCTGCTGTTGTGGTTGTGGTTGTGGTTGTGGTTGTTGTTGTTGTTGTTGTTGTTGTTGTTGTTGTTGTTGTTGTTGTTGTTGTTGTTCTTGATCTTGTTCTTGTTGTCGTTGTTGTTGTTGTTGTTGTTGTTGTTGTTGTTGTTGTTGTTGTTGAACTCCTCATAGTTGAAGAATAATTATTATTGTTGATCCCCCATGTCCGGTGCACATTGTTTTTTTCGATTGAACTGCCCGGGCTCGCACCCAGTTTTTTATCAGGTAAAGTCTTGAGGGTCAAATTGCGTTGTTGGCCCCCGGTTTACAACAACAGCGGCTCCCGCCTGATATTTCCTGACAATTTATTGAAGAATCGCGCTCTCGCCTGGGACTTCCTTCAATGTACCACTGGATCGCGGCTCCCGCTTGATACTTCCTCACAATTTCAGGAAGAATCGCGCTCTCGCTTGGGACTTCCCTCCGTCCCCGCCGCGCAACATTGTTTGGAAACCATTGCCAACTCTCGAAAAACGGGGGGCCCCTCCATCTCTTCTCCTCCTCTCCCTAGGCCCCTTGCTCATTCGCGCTTTCCCTCTGCTGTTCTGTCGTTCCCCCTCCGCGCTGGGGCCTGGCGCAGTCCGTGGGCGTCGGGGGCCCACCGCGTAAAAAAACGGCCTGATTCGGCCGGGTCTCGGGGTCGGCCAGGCTTCGGGGGTCCGCATCCTCCTCGTCCTCCGCGCTTTTTTTTTTTTTTTTTTTTTCTCTTTCTCTCTCTCTCTCTTTTTGTTGTTGTTTTATCTCTCTCTCTCTCTATCTCACAGTTTTTTTGTTTGTCTCTCTCTCTCTCTCTTTCTCTCTCTCTCTCTCTTTCTCTCTCTCTCTCTTTCTTTCTCTCTCTCTCTGTTTCTCTCTCTTTTTTTGTTTCTCTCTCTCTCTCTCTCTCCCTCTTCTCTCTCTCTCTCTCTCTCTCTCTCTCTCCTTTCGCAACTGTCCCTCCCGTCCCTGCGTCCCTCCCTGCCCCGTCCTCCCCCTCCCTCCCTCCCTCCCTCCCTCCCTCCCCTTATCGTCATTGTCGTCGTCGTCGTCGTCGTCCCTGGCCGCCCCCCTTGTGGCCCGCCTTCCGCCTGGAGCCCGAACGCCGACCCTTCAGCCAGCCAGGCCGATAATCCGTGTGACTGCCTCGCCGCCTGCCGAGGGCCAGCCTGACGGCCCTTCAGCCCCCCCCCTCCTCCCTCTCCTCCTTCCCTTCCTCCCTCCTTCCCTCCTTCCCTCCTCCTCTCCCTTCCTCCTCCTCCTCCTCCCTCCTCTTCCTCCTCCTCCTCCTCCCTCCTTTCGTCGTGGTCGTCGTCGTCGTCGTGGTGAGCCCGCTGTCTGTCCATCTTGGGGTTGGGTTGCTGTGGGTCGGTGTGTGCATCGCCAACGTTGCCACTGGCCAGGCCGACGGTCCGCCGCTTGCTGGGGCCCGGGTTGCCGGCCTTTGAGACGCGCGTTTTCCACTGGCCTAGGTTCTTCTGCAGGCTTCGACGAGGCCCCCGGGGCGTTCCCGCAGGTTTTCGGAGCCTCTGGAACTGCTCGGTTGTCATCGGGGCCAGTCCGAGGCCCCGTAGAGGTCATAGGAGGCTTTCGGATGCCTTCCACTCCCCCGCGCCTTGTTTCAGCACCAGTCTCCGCTCGTATCCACTTGCCCCCACTTTCCAACGTTTTTTTTTTTTTTTTTTTTTTTTTTTTTTTTTTTTTTTTTTTTTTTTTTTTTTTTTTTTTTTTTTTTTTTTTTTTTTTTTTTTTTTTTTTTTTTTTTGTTTTTTTTTTTTCCCCCCCTCTCCCTTATTCTTCTTCTTCCAAGTCTTCTCTATTTTTTCCCTTTAATCTTCATTTGCCATGTCGTTCGTATTCCATTGTGCTATTCCTCAGTTCTTCGCATTCCGCCCGCTCCTCCCCAGGCCACCCCATCCCGCCCCAACAATCTCCACCCTTCCCGCTCGCGTTCCATTTCTCCCGAATTATTCCCAGTCCTCCTCCAGATTCCTCCGCGCGCCCCCCGCTCATCCGCGCTCCTCCTGGTTCCTCTTCTCCACTCCTTGCCGCTCCTCCTCCTGGGGCCCTAGTCTTGTCCACCCCGTCCCAATCCACTCCGCGTCCCCGCGCTCTTCTCGACGCGGTTGCAGTTCTCGCTATCCTTCCGCCCCTCTCTCCTGACATCCCGTTTTTTTCAGGGTTCCGCGACACTTATTTATGGCGCGAGTTCGCAGCTGTGCGTCCCACGGTGGGGGTATCCACGATGCGTTCTTTCAATGGGGGTGGTGCTTGGCGATGTTTACGGCGCGGCCCATGGCGAAGCTTATTGTTAACCTGTGTTGGAGTGTGTGGCGCAAACCATGACGCAATCTGAATCGCCACTCGCAGCGCAAATCGTCGTCCTCTCTCATTCTCGCCCCTCCCCTCCTTGCCTCCGACCCGTTCGTCCTCATTCTCTCCCGTTAGCTGTTGCCCTTCGTTTTCGAGGGCTTCGCCAACCGCGCGTGGCGGGGAATGAATATACCCCCCCAAAGGGGGTGCGATCGAAGACGAAGAGGGCGGGTACCCAGGGTTTGGGATATGCATGTTGAATGAGCGCGAGCAGATAAGAGCGAACGTTCTTAAACAATGTTTGTTGTTGTTGTTGTTGTTGTTATTGTTGTTGTTGTTGTTTCTGTTGCCGTTGTCTTTGTCGTTGTCGTTGCCGTTGCCGTCGTTGTCGTTGTTGTTGTTGCTGCTGAAGACCCATGGCAAACAAACATTGATGTTGATTTCCAGAAGCGGTTCCACGCGCTCTTGCACGACGACAACGGCTCCCGCTCGATACTTCCTCACAATTTACCCCGAGACACCCTGGCCATAAAAGGCCCCCGAACTCAGGAACGGCGCTCTCGTTCGAGGCTTCCTCGCAATTCGTTCAAGTTGGCGGAGGCCCAGCCACGACGACAAGGGTTCCTGCTCGATACTTCCCCCCGATTTACTCCGAGAGCCCCTCGCCAGGAAGGCCCCCTAACTCAGGAACGGTTATCTCGCTCGAGAGTTTCTCGTAATCCAGTCAAGTTGGTGGAGGCCCGGACACGGCGACAAGTATTTCCGTTTGATATTTTTCCATCGGTATTCCGAGAGCCCCTGGCCAGAGAGGCCCCCGAGCTCAGGAACGGCGCTGTCGCTCGAGATTTCCGCGAATTTCAGTCAGTGGCCGACAAGGAAAATATTCCCCCCGAAAGGTGGCGCAATCGAAGACGAAGTAGGCGTGTATCGAGGGTTGGGGTATACAGAATGCAGGACACGCGTGCCAGTAAGAGCGAACACTCTGAAACTGATTGTTGTTGTTGTTGAACATTATTTCTTCTTAAGAATAATTATTGTTGGGGCCCCTGGTGCGCGACCTCTGCGCCGCGCCTAGGCCGCAGCTACATTTTCATCATTTTTTCGCGAAAGCTTCAGAAAAGTGGATTGTGTCCGGATCCGGTTGTTTTGTTGACGCCGTTTTCCCTTGCAAAAAACAATAGAAAATGAAAATTCTTGTTCTTACTTGATCAAATTGCAAGAATCCCTTGCAAAAAATAAGGTAAAGTGGACATTCGTGCGCGCAAGACGAAATCCTTCCAAAACCTTAGGTTTCGTAACGATTTTAACATAAAAACGTCAAAAACCCAATGGTTTTTTAAGAAAAAATTGTCAAAATGTCCTTCCGCGCGCGCTGTCCGAATCCCACAAAACCAATGGTTTTTCAACATTTATGTTACATGAGCTCGCGCGAGCTACTTTTTCTTGTTCTAACATAATCAAATTTCAATAATCCCTTGCAAAAAATAAGGTAAAGTGGACATTCGCGCGCGCAAGACGAAATCCTTCCAGAACCTTAGGTTTCGTAACGATTTCAACATAAAAACATCAAAAACCCAATGGTTTTTCAAAAAAAAATGTCCAAATTTCATCCCGCGCGCGCTGTCCGACTCCCACAAAACCAATGGTTTTTCAACATTTATGTTACATGAGCTCGCGCGAGCTACTTTTTCTTGTTCTAACATAATCAAATTTCAATACTCCCTTGCAAAAAAAAGTAAAGTGGACATTCGCGCGCGCAAGACCAACAAAAAACACGACGATCTTAGGAACTTGCCCCAAAAATGTGACCAACTCCGCTCTCTCTGTCTCTCTCTCTGTCTGCTCTCTGTCTCTCTCTCTGTCTGTCTGTGTCATGTATTGTATGTCACAATTGCAGGATGCTGGGCACACGCGCGCCCCGAATAAGTGACCAAGTTCTGTGGGTGTGTACCCCACGCCAGTGTAGTAGCCACGGTCGTCCGCACGCCACGAAGTGAAGTGTCCCAACGTCATAGGGCGGGAAGCTGGGTTTGGGTGGTCGCGAAGAGTCGTTTGGATATTTGGTAG